TGGGCTCCTTACGCGGTTCAATCATTTGTAGGATATATATATATGTGTCTTTTGGCAACGTCGGGACTTGAAGACATGCTCCACATGTTTCTATAATGCAGGCCTGCAATTGGAAACATTCGAATCTAATTCTTGAAAATAAATATAAGAAATGATGAATAACATAAATTAAAAAAAAAAAAAAAAACACAATACGAGCTAGGTAGATTTAAATACTAATCGTGATTTTTAGTGGTGAAATTAATAATATTGGAACGCCGAACGAAAGTGTAATTTACCCTAATAACAAAAACACCGAGCTCGTTTGTTAGTGAATTTTCAAATCTTTATAAGCTAATTTTTGAATTATCGTGACGGATCTCGAATAAATTAATAAAACTATTTTAATAATTATTAATTTCCTATTATTAAAATAGTTTTATTAAGGTTCAATTATTAATCTTTATATTGTAATTATTTATTTTTAATGTTTTTAATACTACTAATTTCTAACTATAATTTTCAACAATTATTAATCTCATATTTTTTATCAATATATCTCAAATCTTAACAGATAATTATATTTATATTTTTTTTCACTTTTGAAATAATATTCCGCACGAAGAAAAATGCTAATTAATAAGAAAAAGAAAATACATAAAATTTATCAACGAAGACCACAAACAATTCCATCATTTTAGGGTGATATGAAATTATTTAAATAAAACCTACCTCACTACAATTATTAAAATTATTAATAAATGTACTTTAATAAAACTATTAAATTAATAAAACTATTTTAATAAAGAGAAAATTAATAACTAAACATCAAAGTGGCAACCAATTACAACATAGATCATTTTGTGGGCTAATTTATTGTCTTGGATAATCTAATGCTTAATAACCATTTCACTAATGAAGTTGACTTTATCTAGATTTTGGTTTGACTATCCCTCCCTCCTCTGTTTGAGACTACACAAATTATTTCTCCTTTTACGCTGTACAATATTGGATGCGGAAACGACGATACAGAGAAATGAAAAAAAAGGACGCGGGGAATCGGCATATCCAAAAAATAAGGATACGAGAGTTGGGAAAACGTGTAAATATTAAAAATATAGGGATATATTTATAAATATGTTATATAAACATATATTAGTATCAACTATCAATTTGCAAATGATCATTAAATCATGTAAATAATTAAGGAAGCAACGAAAATATTTAAAAATTTGTTGCTCAAACATGTCTTTATTTAAAAAAAAATCAAAATGACGCATAAGGAGTCTGTCAGATGTTCTCGAGTTTTGGAACGTTTCTGAAACGCAAAAACATTTGTTACAATAGTTTAAAATGATAAATATATTTTACTTAAATACATCGAGAAAGTATCAACATTCATTTTTTTTTTGTCATCAACTAGCAATGTACATTTATCGTTCATCGCACGGATGAAAAATACTAGTAAAATCAATAACAATGTGTTGGTAAAACAGTAAAATTAATTCTCATCTCTTCACTAATTACATTCAAAATTCCTACATTACCCTTCATCTGAGACACGAATAAGGGTAAAATTGTCACAACAAAGTTTGAATATTTAAATAATATTTAGTAAGTTTAAAATATAAATTTACAACCTAGACCCCAGCACAAGAACATTCTTCCAGGTGGCCCCCCCAACAAAAAACAGTTCGTCGTGTCTCAAAATTATTGAACTAAATTATTTATTTATTATTATTATTTTATTTTTCAATTTCCAAATTTAAATTTCAAATCAATAGATCTCAACGGTTGTTGATTTGACTTCTCCACCGGGATTAATTATCCCATTTTCAATAATCATCTCTAATCCTATGTTTAGTTGCCATTATTACTCCTTAATAATCCTCTTCCCCAAAAAAACACTGCCAACACAGAAACAGCTTATTTCAGATAATCATTTAATCAGCTTCTGCTTTTCCGCCATTAATGCAACCTCTCATTGAAGCACAGTACCCTCGTTTGTTTCATCAAACTATCGTTTTCACCCAACTTCTTCACTTTTATATGTACGAAGCTTTTCGATTGTGACCGAGTTCAGAGTTAATTTGTTTTTTTAGTTGGTGTTTACCTGAAAATGGCGGTCGATTCTCTCTCTAAATTCGAGGAAGTTGCAGGTCAGGGTTTGAGATTCATGATTTGAACAGAAATTCGTCTCGACATTGTCCGGTATAATCGGATTGAAGTAGAGGTTTTCGCGCGATTTCGAATTGGGGGTTTTTTGTGGGAATCAGAAGATGTTGTCCGTATCGCCAAGTTCAATAGCTCGGAGTTCATTAGAGGAGATGCTGGAATCTCTCCGGCAAAGAGACGAGAACGAGATGCCGAAGGATATGCCTCCGGCTCTGCCGCCGCGGCCGAAGCCGACCTCTCGTGCTCGCCTTCCGTCGACCAAGCGGCGGCTGCCGAGCCTTGAAGATGATGAATCCAGGGCAGCTCGGAGTTCATCTGATTGCTCTTTAGAAGGAGAGAGAGTGAGAACTTTTGGTCCTAAAAGAGTTAAAGAAATGGAAGCAGGGGAATCACCTTATGTCGTGGCAGGATCGAATGAGTCTCGGTGGGATGATAAATTGGGATATTTTATTGAAAAGGTAGATGGTGTTGTTTGGTTATACCTTTTGATTTTCTGATATTTGTTGATCTTTCTTTTACGGAATTTAGATTTTTAATACTGTGAGATTTATCATATCGGTAAGAGAAAGAAAGAATTATTCAAGAATTATGATGGGTTTTGGGAGAGAATTGTGATTTTTGTGATAAATTATGTTTCTGTTGATTTTTGTTTATATGTACTAAAGGGTTTAACTAGATGCAGTGTAGTTGGGGATGATCATATGATTTATTTAAGCTTTAACATTTAAACATGCTTGGAAATGTAATGGAAGGATCGCATGAATCATCGTTCTTGGTGCTACGTCTGTGCAAGTACTATAGTAGTTGTTATCATTGTTATAGCTCTCATTGCTGTAGATGACACAAGCTCGTTTCTGCTAGATAAAAAGTCAGAGCTACGGCTTCTTTTTATTGCATGTGAATTTGACTTCATATACTACTTTCTCTGTCCCAATCCTCTTGTTACATTGTATATGTTGTACTGTGTTTGGTTGACATGCCATTTATCATTCTGGAAACTAAAGCATTTAATCAAGTTCATGTTCTAGATGATCTCCATAATATTGATGTAAATACAGTCTTTATCTGGAATAGTTGGTGCACTCAAATCAATAGTCAGGGTTATGATTTTAGCTTTAACAAGAACTGTGTATTCTTATCTCGCTAAAATGTTTCCACTTGGCGTGCTGTACAAAAGTGCTCACCTGCTATTGATTCTAAATGTGTGTGTATGGTTTCCAGAAACTTCATGTTTGGTGTCGATCAGGTGATGGACTTTGGGAATCAGGACAAATACAATCAACTTCAGGGGAGAAAGCTTCAGTTCTTCTGTCAGATAATAGTGTTAGTTCGACTGATTTTTTATATTTTCATAATTTATTTTGAAGTGTAAAAGCATATTAACGTACTCATTACAATGTAGGTTGTCACAGTTCCCATACAAGAGCTCCTACCCGCCAATCCCCACATTCTTGAGGGAGTGGACGATCTTGTGCAGCTTAGTTATTTAAATGAGCCTTCAGTTCTTCACAATATTAGATGCAGATATCTACAAGACATAATATATGTAAGTAGTAATTTTGGAAATTCCTATTAGCGTGTACAGTTAACCACTCTGTGTTTGAGATCTTGAACAATACTTTCTCTTCATTTTACCTAGACTAAGGCAGGACCTGTTTTAGTAGCAGTCAATCCTTTCAAAGATGTCGAGATTTATGAGCATGACTATGTCACAGCATATAGGCAGAAGCTTCTGGACAGCCCTCATGCTTATGCTATCGCAGATGAAGCATACGATAAAATGATGGCAGGTACTAAACAATATCTTACAACTTACAAGTATATAGTTGACATATCTCTTACGCTGAGGTGCTAATTCTCATTTTTCTGTTACTATATTTGTGAACTTCGCAGATGAAACGAACCAGTCTATCATTATAAGGTTTGATGAAGTTTCTCAACCTCTGTTTTTCAGTTTCTGGGACCCGCTCCTGCTATGATGCTTCGATTTTTTGGTTGACATTGTAATGATTTATAGGGTTTAATGCTTGGTTATGACTTGGATTTATTAATATGATTTGTAGTGGAGAGAGTGGTGCTGGGAAAACTGAAACAGCTAAAATTGTAATGCAATATTTAGCAGTAATTGGTGGAGGTAGTGGTGTAATAGAGTCTGAAGTTTTGCAAACAAGCTATATACTGGAGGCCTTTGGTAATGCCAAAACCGCTAGGAATGACAATTCGAGCCGATTTGTGAGTTCAGTCTGAACTTATGCCTCAATTTAAAATGCCTTCAAAGTTAATATTTGGCTTTAAACATATGAAAGCCTGGCTTGTTGATATTCCAAATTTGATGCAGGGAAAGCTAATTGAAATCCACTTCAGTGCCTCTGGACAAATATGCGATGCAAAAATACAGACCTGTAAGCAAGCGTTATTGGCCAAATTGAATATTGGGAATACTATTTGTTGAGTTCTGAGTTGTCATAGTTTTCTGACTTGTTTCCACAATATTGTGCATGTTAAACGTATGATTCCAAAACGGTGTAGTCCTCCTTGAAAAGGTCAGTATGTCTATCTAAAATGGTTTTGATTATTTTCTTTAGTTTGAATCTCCCTTTTAACTAACATTTTGAAACAAAATATCACATTGTATCAGTCAAGAGTTGTTCAGTTGGCCCTTGGTGAGCGGTCCTATCACATTTTCTACCAGCTCTGTTCTGGGGCTTCTTCTGCTCTCCGAGGTGAGCTTTTTCCCAGTTTTCGGAAGTGCCTTTTTCAATATTCTTCTCCTTCCCCCCACCCCCTCCCCGACAAAATATTTTTTTGGTGACTTCAAATTAAAATTTGGTGGTGCTTAAAATTATTGTTGTCTTGGTGGTGCTTAAACTTTGATTAAGTTTCATCTATTATTTTTTCTTCATGTTATTCCACAAAATGTTTTGAACTTAATGAATAAGAAAGGTTGTAAGTTTCTGTTATGTATGTCCAACCACTCGCTAGAATTTAAGTAGAACTAATTTATTTCCCTGTAGTTACGATGAAATTCTGATGTACAGAAAATGTGAATGCCAATTTCTCTATGCTGTTGGAACCTTTTTTACTCAAACAATTTGCTTACATGCTGATGTTTGATATGCAGTTCATTCTCTCGTTATATGCTTTTTATCATCTTAAATATATGTGAACAGAGCCTATCTAGCAAGATTATGACTTAGTATGACAATGATAAATATTTTCTTAGGTAGGTTAAGGTTAAAAAAGGCTTCCGACTACAAATATCTCAACCAGAGTGATTGCTTGGAGATCCACACCATTGATGATGCTCAGAAGTTCCATACTCTTATGGTAATGTAACAGCATTCACACGTGATACATGAATTATTCCACTGTAGTTTAGCCCTTATCCTTACACTTAACGAACACTTTCTTCCACTGCATCGGAAGAGGTCTGAATATTGAGTTTCAAAATTGTCATGCTGCTTGATAACTAAGAACTTAAATTGAAGAGTGGATTCTAAGAATTAAGTTGCTTGTGGAACTTCTACTATGTCGGGTATATTTCTTTTTCCTTTACAGATTTTTACTAAGTCTTTTATGTTTTCTCTCACTAGGGAGCCTTAGATACTGTCAGAATTTGCAAAGAAGACCAGGAGCATGTCTTTGAGATGCTTGCTGCAGTTTTGTGGTTGGGAAACATATCGTTTCTTGTAACTGACAATCAAAACCACATAGAGGTTGTCGCTGATGAAGGTACTCGCGTTTTCCTTCGTTACTTGTTATTTATATGCGTGTTTGAGAATTTTCTTTCGCTTATTTTCAGGAATTAGATAGATGTATTCAATGAATTTGGTGCTACTATTTATTAGTGATCTTAATAAGATAAATAGTTAAACATCTTTCAAGGTGGTTATCAGTGTGTAAAGTCGTTCTTCTTTTTGCATGTTGAGGCAAGTATATTTGCAGAGAAGAATGAGGAAACTGTTAGAATGAATGATCTCCCCCCTCAATGCTTCTTTGATGTAGGAGTGTAGGACTCATTAGTTTTCCCATACTGTTTAGATATTGGGTGATTATATTGTTCCATGGTGATTTCAATGTGGCGTATAAGAGTTTATGGTGTGGGATTGACTGTTCTCCATTAACCAAATAATTTTTGAGATCATTATAATCTTTAAATGCAGATAATTTCTTTTTGAGCATTTTGTGATTAGTCCGATGATACCAATTAAGTTCTTCGTGGATGAATTCACTTAACTATTTTGAAATGGTTTCGCCTTATTTACAGCTGTTACCAATGCTGCTAGCTTGATAGGCTGCAGTGAGCCAGAGTTAGTACTTGCTCTGTCAACCCGAAAAATACAGGCTGGAAAGGATGAGGTCACCAGAAGGCTGACACTACAACAGGTCCAATTATTTATTTATTATTATTATTGGACATTTGCAATTTCAAAACTATACAAATATTTCAGGCTAGTGCTTTGGCAGATTCTTGCATAATTACAGAAGGCATAGTTCTCTTGCATAGAGCCATATACATAAACCATTTACTTCATATACATCTTTGTTGAATTGATGGTGTTTTCCTACTGATTTAGGCAATTGATGCAAGAGATGCATTGGCAAAGTTCATCTATGTGAGCTTGTTTGACTGGCTTATAGAAGAGATCAATTCATCGCTTACCACGGGCAAACATAATACTGGGCGGTCCATAAGCATTCTAGATTTTTATGGATATGAACCATTGAAGGTATAAACTGGCTTATTTTTTATAGTTCTTCATAATATGATAAACCGTTTCTCACTCTTAACTTTTTACTTCACCTTTTTGGATCCAGAAGAATAGCTTTCAACAGTTTTGTGTAAATTATGCCAATGAGAGGCTCCAGCAACATTTTAATCGACATCTCTTCAAACTTGAGCAAGAGGTCAGCATTTTATATACGTCTCTTTCCGACGAGTTGAAAAAACAGGGCATGACTGGGTCAATTCATACTTTTATTTCCTTCTTCACATGAAATTCACTAAAGTTGAGCCCTGGCATTATTTTTCTACGGGATTCTCATAACTACTAAAGCTCCGTGCCTTACATTCTAAATAAACAAACAATTTTATTTGAAATTGCAACATTATGCATACTGATTGTGGAACTTTTTTATTTGCAGGAGTATGAGTTAGATGGAATTGACTGGACAAAAGTAGGTTTTGTAGACAACGTAGACTGTTTGAATCTCTTTGAGAAGGTACTTCTCTTCCTCCACTGTATCAGTATCCCATATCCAACAGAAACCTATTGGGCTGATATCTTTTTGTGTACTTTTTATGTTTGAATTTCATTTTTTACCATTTTGTGTATTTCATGGTCACACTGTTGTGTTTGAACAGAAACCTATTGGGCTGATATCTCTGTTGGATGAAATATCAAATTTCCCCAAGGCTACCAATTTAACTTTGGTCGCTAAACTTAAGCAGCACTTGAATGCTAACCATTGCTTTAAAGGAGAAAGAGGTGGATCGTTCATTATTCACCATAATGCTGGAGAGGTTAGTATTGCTTGTACCCGAAAGAAAAAGGGGGAATTAACTTCATGTACAAAATTGCTCATAGATATCACTTCAGCTTATATGATTTTAAGACTGTCTGATATTGAATTATTGATATCGGTTGTTCGAATTAGGTTCTTTATGACACAGAGGACTTCTTGAAAAAGAACAGAGAATCATTGCATTCTGAATCCATTCAACTACTATCTTTGTGCACCAGTCGATTTCCTCAATACTTTACCTCTACGATGCTCAAGCAATCTCAGCATCCAGAAAGTAAATTTATGCAATCGAGCATGTTTGCTTGTCAAAAGCAAACTGTTGCTACAAAATTCAAGGTGATGAGTCTTGTTCTTTCCCCTACTTTTAAGCCCCTTATTTCTCTCCTCACACACACACATGTTCAAGAATTGTTCATAATGCCCCTGCCATTGGCTGTACCGTTATTGGACAAAACTTCTCGCTATACACGATTTCTCTTATCAAATTTTGTTCAACGTCCTTCCATTATTGCAGGTTCAGCTGTTTGAATTAATGCAGCATCTCGAAAGCACAAACCCACATTTCATTCGTTGTATAAAACCAAATAGTAAGCAGATCCCTGCTGTGTTCCAAAATGATCTTGCTTTAGAGCAGCTTCGATGCAATGGGGTTCTGGAAGTTGTTAGGATTTCTAGATTAGGGTACCCCATCCGAATGACCCATCAAGAATTCGCTACAAGGTTTTTGCCTCTGTCTTGATTTCCATTTATTTCTTGTGCTTATTATGGGGCTTGTCATTATATGCTGGCATGAATTTCAGGTACAGGTTCATACTTCCGGAAAGTATGGCTTGTCAAGATCATTTAAGTATGTCAATTGCCATTCTGCAGCAGTTTGATATATTTCCGGAGATGTACCAAGTTGGTTACACAAAATTATACTTCCGGGCAGGACAGGTTGGTGGGAGTGCACCGTCTCTATGTTTTAATGATCTACAATTATAAATAATTATAATGGGTGAAATACTTCCTGTATATTAGTTCGTTTGATTTTCTGTGTTCTCGAATGATAGATTGTTGCCCTAGAAGATGTTAGAAAACAATTTCTTCAAGGTACTCTTGAGGTGCAAAAACTTAGCCGTGCTCGCCGTGCTCGTCTTGACTTCCATGAACTCAAGGGCATAGTAGTAAAATTGCAATCATGTGAGGCCAGCATCTATTGTTAATACCTACGATGCTTTATAAGAATCAAATGATTTCATGAGTATTGCGATATCTGCAGATGTTCGTGGTAAAAGTGCAAGAAAGGAGTATAATGTCTTGAAAAAGCAGCACAAGTCAGTGGTGCAAATACAGTCTGGTAAAAGTTTTCTCCATTCAGATTAGATATACCTACTGTGAGACTGAGGTAATTTATATCTAACTACATTCTCTTGTGCAGCAATTCGTGGATGGTTGACCCGAAAGAATTTTGGTCACCTTTGGAATTCGAAAAAGTCAACTGTTAGTAAACCGAAACCAGGCAGGAGGATGTCTGAAAGCAAGGTACTTTGTTGCAAAATGCATGAATTGGATATAATATAAATCTTGTTATCTTGTCTGTTATGAAAAACCGAAACCGAAACCCGAAACCCAAAACCCCGAAACCAGAAACCCGAAAACCTTGACCTGAAACTGAAAACCGAAACTGAAACCCAAACCGAAATTGAAACCGAAACTGACATCGAACCGGGAAAAAAATAGAAAAAAAAAAGAGAAGAATTTGATGGAGTTTTCTTCTGTCAATTTCTTTTAACAATTTTCTGCTAGTGATGATTTTAATTGGCTGAGCAGGATCTGTCAGAAACATTACCTTCGGTTGTTGAAGAACTTCAAAAGGCAGTTTCGATGGCAGAAGCGACACTTGGACACAAGGAAAAAGAAAATATAGCTCTGAGAGAGCAGGTGCGAAAATACGAGGCGCGGATGTTAGAATACGAAAGCAAGATGAAATCAATGGAGGAGATGTGGCAAAAGCAGACATCTTTACAAGTGAGTTTATTTGTTACAATTAGGGGTGGAAATAGGACGGATCCGATCGGAATTAGCACTTTCGGAAATATTCCAATTTTTTCGAAAGTCAAAAACTAGTTCTAATTATGTTCCAAAAAAATATTGAAAAATTTGGTAATTGGAATAAAAATACTTGTTCCAAAATTGAAATTTTTTGAATTGGAATCGGTGGAATTCGGAATTTCCGAAATGTTAATCACTTATATTATAAAATACATTATAATATTGATATTATAAGTGTAGTTTTAAAAAACAAATTGGAATTTTTGGAGATAAAAATGTGATTGGAAATCGGATTTATAATATATATTCCAATCCCGTTCCAAACAAAGATCGAAAAAATCGGAAATTAGAACCTTAGGAATCGAAAATATTCGGATCAAAATTGGCGGATTTCGGATATTCCGTTCCAATTTCCACCCCTAGTTACAATATACGTATGTAGGATTGCTCATATTATGTCCGAAAAAAGTACATTCCTTACAATTGTTTTGATTTTTGCAGCTGAATTTGGCTGCAGCCAAAAACAGTCTTATTACAGACAATGCAACGGGTCGATCCGGAAAAAGAAACGGGTTCCAATCTCCCCTTTCTTACGACTCCGAAGATACGTCTATGGGAACTCATACACCCGGTGGTAACACCCCCGTCAGATTTTTCAACAATGGTGTAAATTCCCTAAATACCCTCGCAAACGAGTTTGAGCAAAGGAAAAGAAACTTTGATGATCAAGTACTAGCAATAGTAGAGGTCAAAACAGGGAATTCGCCACCCGTGAATCCAGTGGAGGAGTTTCGAAGACTGAGACGAATGTTCGATGCTTGGAAAAAAGACTACAAGGCTCGGTTAAAGGAAGAGAAGGCTAAAGCACACAGGATCGAAGGTGAGAAACATCGACGAAGATGGTGGGGAATGAGAAAGTAAAAAAAGAAGATTACCGCAGCGTTAACTATAGTAATCTATATTAGATGTTGTAAGATGATTATATATATCTATATCTATATATATATATTATATATATGTCATATCAATTTTGTTGTTCGTCCAATGGAGAGTCGTTGTATAGTGTGTGTTTTATTTCAAAAAATTATGAAGTATGCATAAATTATGAAAATCCTACTTTTATTTCAAAAAATTACATTTACTTCTCTCAAACTAATAATGCGTCAAAATTCCTAACAAAGATAGTGAAATGACTAAATTGTCCTTATTTTTATCCTTGCATTAAAATGAAGGGTAAATTACACCTACACTCCTGAGGTAAGCTAAAATAACTTTAAAGACCATGTAATATTGGTAATTACAGCCACATCCCTGAAACAATTACCGAAGCTAAGATTTCATGTCATGGGATAGATATGCACTATATTTGTTTTCGGCTGGGCCGTCAATGCTACCATGAACGAAAATTTATAAATCATATATAACATAATAATGAATTAAGAGATGTTGGGGGGACCAATTTCAACATCTATGTCTATGTTGTCTCCATCATTGTCTGAAACTAATAGTCCATTAGAACTCTAGCAGAATAACTTATCTCATGCATTATTCTATTAGGGCCTCTTTGGTTGGAGGGCTTCGAAATATAGAGAGGGATGGGATGGTTAATATTGGGATAGAAGTGTTGACAAGTTATACTTACTACGGCATTTGGTTCGTGATATTGTCTCGGTACTAATATTCCCAGACTAACAATACGCCGTTTTGTGTACTTGATTCCTGCAGATATAATTGGTAATTTCCGTTAAAGCCCTTCACATATAATAATATATCATGTTTTCATAAAGCCCCAATCAGCAGTAATTTTTAACCACAATTTCGAACCCTAAATTGGAAATCGGTAAAACAAAAAATCTGCCATTCAATCGAGCTAAATCGTTGAACTCGTTACATTGTCATGAGTTCTGGTAGTAGTAGCTCCCATCGGAGAAGTGGCAGCAACAATTTCAGCGGAGTGAAGCTACATCGGGAAATGCCAAGATATTGCGATTGCGGGTACATGGTCGCCGTACAAACTTCATGGACGGCTACAAACCCAGGACGACGGTTCGTAGCTTGCCCTGAACGGGGGGTAAGTTCTTTCCCCACTAAATCAACATTGCTAGATTTATTTTAAGTAATTAGGTTTGCGTATTACTGAACCTTAATGGGCGCGATTTTGATGTTGGGCAACTGTTTGGTTAGAAGTTAAAACCAAAGCATGGCTGTTGCAATTGTTTGTTAGTGTTATTCACTGGTTCTTCAATATTGGAACACTTATTTTAAGATTTTGGTTTATGCAATGAATTATCCGGTGTCGTAGTGAATGCCTTGTTCTTAATCATGACAACTGAGAATTTCAACGCTGCTAATCTGGTGTCGTAATGTAATGACTAATTCTAACATTAGTTCGTAATGTACTGACTAATTTCAATTGTAAGTTCATATTCGTACAATATGTTTGATGCTACCTCATTGAACATACAATTTCAGGTTAGTGGTTGTCGTTTCTTCAATTGGTGTGATCCTGAAATGTGTGATAGATCGAAGCAAATTATACCAGGCTTGCTCAAGAGAATCAACTATTTGGAGGCGCAAGTTCCATTGGAAGTCTCCGCGTTGGTTAAGAAGATATCGGAATTGGAATCCCAGTTGCAGCAGCAGAGTGATGGGAATCGGGGGAAACGGGGATCTTGGTTTTTGTCAACCCGTTTAGTTTTGTGGGGGGCTTCGGTATCAGTTGCTTGTTTATTTTGTTATTGTGTGGTTGTGTTGTAATATGTTATCAGCATTTGTATTGCGTAATATAGATGATACTCACATTTCAGCTTTCAAATATTAGGTCTATGTCGTTATATTTATTTCATTGTGTTTTTAACGACTTTTGCAAAAGGGAGAATAATACGAAGACACAACCATCTGACTTAACAAACGCAAAATAGTTCTTCCTACAAGGTGACGTACTACCACAAAATTCGGAATCTTAGTTCCGCGCTTTTAACATTCATACTTAAAACAATAAAAAAAAGAAACATAGTTCCATCACAGTACCACATAAAAAAAAACAAGAAATTAAAATAAGTGTTCTTAAGATCGAAACAGAAATATCCAAATTTAAAACAAACATGGCCTAAAACATAAAACGTTATCGTTACGCGGAGCGAAATTAGGGTACATCAACCTGATTCATGACACCTGCGAATGGAACGAGTGCACGATTTTCCGGAGGAACCTGTTGAGGATCAACAATCTCGCCATCTTCATCCCCTCCGTGAATGATGATTGGATTATCGCGATGGTATCCGGTGAAACCTCGAAAGTTGGCTACGGGAGCTTCTTTGTCATCGAACACGTATTTGCATTGTTCGTAGAACCGAAATCCATTAACCCTAAAAGCCCTCTCTTCTTCCGTCTCCTACAAATTGAATGCATATTGTTTCGTTATTATCACTGATTGACAATGTATTAAACGAAGCACATAAAAATAAAAAAATTAATAATCTTACACGACGGTCCAAATGCCAGAAACTTCTATCCAATGTCACCTTCCTCTTCGAGCGGATGAACGTCACACCATCCTGATCGATGTATCCCTTGAATGCTAAGTAACGTTTTCGAAACCATTCCAATCTCCACTTGATGTCAACCTCCGCAAAGTCTCTTGAGAAATGATAGTTCATTGTCATGATAACTTCGAATAAGAGGTCTTCGTACGCCTCTTCGTTTTGCAACGTATCCACGGAGCGTGAAAATCTGGCAGCGGCATTGATTAGGCACTCATCGTACGCAACGGGCCACGATTCATTGTTCATCCTGGCCAAATGAACCTGATTGCGGGTTCTTGGTCTCGACATTACACCTAAAACAATGGAAGATTAATTAATTAGACGAACAAACCACACCGAAACAATATTAACAAATATAAATATAAACGGACGTCAATGTAAAACTGCCAAGATTATGCAAACCTTAGAAAGTTGATGAACGCAACAATTGCAATTTCTGATTTACCAAATGTGAACGCAAACCCCACAAGTTGTACCCGAAATAAATGGAGCCCTAATGGTATTTAATGTACAAAAGAAGAGGCATTCATTGGTTGCACCTTTCGGTCATATGCGCCGGTCGATGTACACGTCAATACAATGTATTTGTATTGTGTGTTTAATGCATGATAATAAATTTCTTAGGCTGCAAAGAAATGATTAATCACTGTTTACGAGAGCTCTTAATGCACACCTAACCATTGTCTATTCGAATTCATTCCCATTTTTTTCAAGAACAATTAAAGTTCTTCCTTATTTTCATCTGCAATAAGTAGTTGAAGTCCTGCAAATTCCATTAAACCACCCCTTTTTTCCAATTAAAAACGTCAAAAATGACAACTGAAAGACAATGATGGGATCGAATGACATGGTAAATAGTACCAATTCTGCACTTCATATCTAAAAAATTTTGTGTTAATACTTTATATTTATGTTACTGCTACCGAAATAAATTTAGCCCATTAAGATGCTTACCTAACACCTTAAATACCTATTTCATTTAGTTATATATGCGGAGTGTTTGTATAACAAGTTAAAACAAATGTAAGTACTAAATCCCATATGCATAGTTAGCATGGCTCCAAAAAAGAAACCAATTTGTAGGCAAGAAGATTTTCTATACGAGTTAGAGTGGACTGAAGCAATCGATGACTATTTCGTGGAGTTACTGACGTGGGAATCTAGTCTGCACAATTTCGACCGTAATGGGGCAAATACTCTTGCTCTATTGAGTTGTCAAGAGTTGATTCAGCACAAATTCGACAAGTGGTTCTCATACAAGCATTTGAATAAGAAGATGATGTTATTAAAAAAGAGGTTTGTTACGTTTCATTGGATATTGTCACAGGAAGGGGTAGCATATAATGCAACAACTAACATCATCTCTGTGTCCAAAGATGTGTGGAAAGATATATTAAAGGTTAGTACGTAAGCAAAGTTTAATTAGTATTGTTTTCCTAACAAACGTTATGTTCTTAAATATACATTACTTCTATTTTTCAGACAAGTCATTATGCCGGAGCTTATAACCCCGTTGGCGAAATACGGTATCACGAGTTGAAGTGTATTTTTGGAAGTGACCCCGTGGTTAACCCAAATGACGGTGAGGAGATTATCGTTCTGTCTTCCGATGATGAGGAGCCAAAAAAGGATGAGGACCTGAATGTGGGTGGTGTAGCAAATCCAATTGGAGCGGACCGATTTGGAGTCAATGCCCATGCATTTGACCTAATGGCCCAACAAGAGTTTGCCAATGTTGGCCGTACTGATCCCAAGACGGTCATCAACATTTCTTCGGGTGTATGGGGCGATGGTGATTTAGATATGATGCCTCACCCTCCCCAAAACTACGTATCCGATTCCGAGGGTTCAAGGGACACCGAAGTAAGCACGGCTAACTCACGTTTTGTGGATCAACCTTCCGCCAAGGGTAGTTCTATGTTGAGATCGAGGGCTGATTGTGCAAACAAATTCATGCCTTTCGGAACTCCAAAGAGCTCGACCGCTTCAAACAAACCACCGTTGGGTGCATTTTATACCCCCGAAAACAATGGAATGTGAACGTTTGCGTGATTGGACTTTAAATGTATGTTTTTTTTGTGCATGTGCCATAGGTTACGTGCTTCAGTACTAGAATAGTATTTGTTTGCCTTTTCATAGTATGTAGGCAAACTCATATCCTACTTGGTATTAGTGCTATGTTTTTTCAATTAGATCTTTATAAGCTTTGTTCTGTCAATTAATAACGATTACCGTATACAATGATACCAAAATATAGCAAGGTATTGCGGAAATTAAAATACTATATAATCAAGAGTCGGGTCAAACATAAAGTCGTACATAGATAAAGTTCACAAGAAGCAGCAAAATGCAAATGTATCATTACATTAATGTTCATATTAAAACCCAAATAACCAGTTAATACCGCCCTTCTAAGATCAAATCCACCATATTTGCTTTGTGGTCCTCACTCAAACAGAAAAAGATGTCTAGGTCTTTGCTATTGTCACAAATTCTAGAAGTGACTTTGAGCCTTTCCTCGAAAGTGAGATGTTGCAAGTTTTCGAGGGCATCAAACACTTGTTTCCGTGCAGTCGACACATCCTTCTCGAAGCCCATACGGCTTACAAGTTCGTTCATTTGGGACTCCATTTTCTCAAAAAACTTAGACGTCATCTCAATATACCCACTTTCAATCGCGTCACCGCGTTGCCGCTTCTTCGATTTGGATTTAGTTTTTGCAGAAGTTGCTTCATCAGCCCGGCTGAATGTTTGGTATTGTGAGTAGTTATCGGATCGTGAAAGATCTACTTGTGGGACGTATTCGTCGTCGTTGGAACAAGGTTCTTTACCTTTCGAGTTGGTGACCAAATCGTTGATGGCTTCGACAAACGTTTCAGCATGTTCACCCGTGGCACGGTCCTTTCCAAAGACCGTAGTCCAGTCTTTGTAAAATGGCCATGACTTGTACCTCATGGAACGGGCATTAGCATCCGTCTAGGTAAACATGGCAAACAAAATAATACTTAGAAATGCGTATTATGAAATCAGTGCATTGAGCACCATGAGTTATGAAAAAGGATTTAGTAGTTTGATCTACCTTTACGTACTCTTGCCAAACTTGTTCATCAATGACTTCAATGGTATTGTTTGTTTCATTCCAGCCGAATCCCGACCTCGATAACATCGTGCTTAGCGATGCATAATGTTTTTTCCACACGTGTATCTTAGAATGGATATGTGGGGTTGCTTTGAGGTCGGTACCGGGGAATTTTTGTACCATATATTGTTCAAGAGTTCCTAGAAAACCAGTTTTAAATCCATTTTCACATTTCCATCCCCTCGAGACAATATCTTTCAACCCTAATACTAAAGTCTGCTCTTCAACTACAGTCCAACTACGTCTGTTATTGATGACCCCGTTCTTATTGTTTGTACCTTTTTTCGAACCAGCATTAGATTCCATGAAGCCTGAAGTTTTTTGACGTAAATGTATTAACAAAAACGAAGTCTTACAAACAAACATGCAATTAAACAACCAGGTTTTCCAAATGTAACGTCTCTTACAACAGAAATTGGGTGAAGAATGAAGCGAATTGTAATTAAATATTGTCGTTGAGTACCCATGTACATATACAAACATACCCGTGGGGACTCGTAGACCATTGTCTCTAGTGACTGCATCCCTGAAGAATTCTACTATCGGCTTGGTCCATTCTTCTGAACTTTCTACTGTATTAATATAGTCTTCTCCACTAATTATTCCTGGATTTTTACGGAAAAAATCATCTAATGTTTCTTCTTCGGGGTCAAAGTCATTGGTTGTTCGTATGAAATTATGTAACAGGCAACAAGCCATTATGATCCTATTTTGAACTTTAATGGGATAGTAAGAGGTACTTCGTAGAATGGCCCAACGTGACTTCAAAAGACCAAATGCCCTCTCGATGATGTTTCTTGCCT